CCTTAGAGACCGAGAAGGGTTTCAGGGTATAAGCTTCCAAGAGTCAAAGCTCTCTTCATCAGACACAAGTAGGATAGACCACAGGAGCATCCATGCTGGCCTGTTGCAACAAAAACAAACAGCATTCATGGACTAGAGCAGGGGTGGCCAAACTGCAGCTCAGGAGCCACATGTGGCTCTTTCACACAGTCTAATTTAATGGTAATCAGGGCTTTTTTTGTAGAAAAAGCCCAGCAGGAACTCATTAGCATCATAGGCCACACCCAACAGCAGAATCATTAGCATATTAGGCCACACCCCTGATATCACAGCTCATTGGCATATTAGGCCACACCCCCATGTTACCAGAAGTGTGCTCATCCAGCCACACCCACCGTTTGCTTGTTATTCTGTTTACCTTGTTTGTTGTCAAAACCCAGGGCTTTTTTGTAGCAGGAACTCCTTTGCATGTTAGGCCACACACCCCTAATGTAGCCAATCCTAATGAGTTCCTGCTGTTGGGTGTGGCCTATTATGCTAATGAGTTCCTGCTGGGCATGGCCAACTTGGAAGCCAGCCAGAACTCTGTTCCTGTGCGTTCCTGCCCAAAAATAGCCCTGATGGTAATAAAAAGCAAATTTGCATATTTTTCAATAAAAACGTGTAATGTTTGTTCATGTCATGTGGCTCTCAAACATCCGATGTTTATTCTGTGTGGCTCTTACGTTAAGCAAGTTTGGCCACCCCTGGACTAGAGGCTGCTTCATCAGATGCATGAAGTGAATCCTCAGCTGGCAGGTCTGTTTCTGTGATTCTTAATTAATCAAGGTTTATGTTAGAATAAATATGTGCATTCCACAAGACTCTTGTCAGTGTGAACACGCATAGGAACCAGCTGCAATGTTCTGCATAGTTACTTAAGAGTAAGTCAGTGTATTCCAAATATATGGCACAGATAAGGCTGCCAGACCTGGGTTGGGAAATTCCTGGGGATTTGGGGGTGGAGCCTGGGAAGGGTGGGGTTTGGGTAGGGGAAGGACCTCAGTAGGGTATAATGCTGCAAAAGATACCCTTCAAAACAGCCATTTTCTCCATGGAAACTTGAACTCTAATCTGGAGATCAGTTGTAATTCCAGGGCATCTCCAGACTCCACCTGGAGGTTGGCAACCCTACACACAACATAATGGCTGCCTTCACTGTGGTTTGATTTTTCAAGGCACGGTTGCAACACACATTTGAGGAGTCATTGTAATAAGCCCTTTTGAACTTGGTGAACTGTACTTTCAAATGAACAGGCATGAAACATGAAAGCTCCTCATTCCACTTCCACCACCTCTCTGCTCCTGCCTTTGAAAATCTGGTTTCTTATTGAAGAATGTAAATGAAAAAATCTGCAATAATTGTTTGAACACCTCACACATAATGAAGAGCACCATAAGTAAATAGTAATAGCACATGTGAATATGGGGTCATGTAACGCTCACTTTGTGCAACACTTCCAAGAAGTGTGTATCATCCTCCCAAGGCAACAATCCAGTGACACCTGCTGGAAGAATTCACTTTGAACTCAGTAACACTTACTCTTGAGTAAACATACTGTCCATTTAGGAGGAGAAAAATAGGCCCTATAGTTTCCTGTAAATTTGTACAGCTCCTAGCACAATGGGTTGGAACTTTGGGTAGCATGATAAAAACTCATTATAATAATATAATGAAAGACAATCTTTCGGCTATTGAGGGGGGAAAGACACCAGTTGCCAAGTTTTATGCATGCTTATTAGTCTTGCTTGTTTTGCAAATGCAATTAAAAATTAAATCCCTGAAATAAGTGCATAGATGAAGATTGGGTGTGTGTGTGTGTGTTTGAGTGTAAAAAGGAGCAAATTAAAACAAAGGGGGAAAAACCATGCTGGAGCCACCAAGTTCAGATGCATTATGGTATTAGAACTTCCATAAAGTTCAGAGGTTTTGGATTTCTCTGTTTTGGGACTGCCCATTAAATAATCCTAAAAGACAACACATCCAGACTTCATAAAGGAGCTGACTATAATGGGGGAAGGGAAATGGATTGGCCCGAAACCTGCAGGCCAGATCCAATCTCTAATTAGAACCTTTTGTCTAAAGTCTTTTCTAAGGCATTCCGTGTCTGTTTAATATTTAACATATGGGGGGGGGGGTTGAACAGACTTTTGTGGGTGTGCCGGTTATATTACAATCAGATATAGTTTAGTTAAAATGCAGAATAAAAACAAAAGGAAACGGCCAATTTTCTTCTAACATTAAACTTTAAAGAAGAAAAGGCACGGGGGGGGGGGGCGCGCGGAGGTAGACCGCAAAATGATTTCACAGTCTTGCTCTACTAAAGTTGACCAATTTTTCCCTCCAAAAGAGCAATACAGCAGTAGCTTTGCATTGTATGAGAAAATAAAAGGAAGAGAGTTCAAACAGCAATTGATCTTTATCTCATGGGGGGAGGGAGGGGCGGGGGGGAGAGGAAGAATCGTTTGCAAAGAAAGGGCTGAGTTGATTGAGCAAAGAAAGGGTTAAAGGCAGGGAGTGCAGCTGGCATAACCGTGGAGGGGAGTCGAAAGAAGGAGGCAATGTTGCCTGTCCCTTTAAGGTTCCTGCAGTACTAAGAGAATTGCAGGGATAATACGATTGGGGCGGCAGGATCACTTACTTCTGACGTTCCAAAGCCTGGGGGAGTTGGCTAGATTGTTTCCCTTTGATAAGGTCCTGGCAACTTAGTAGCAACTCACGAGGCAACCCCCCCCTCCAACAACAACTAAGTCTTAAATCTTCAGCGTAAAAAAACACCCTCATAGATATACAAAAAATATTCTGTAAAGGGAGAAAGAAAAAATAATTAGCCTTCCAGCCCATGGTTTATACTGGCATCTCGGCTAGCATAGCCATAGTAAGCGCTGTGCCTTTTATTTTGCTTTTAAGGGGGAAGGTGTTGCAGAAAAGACTCTTATCTCCCTTACAGGACCGTTCTCTCGGTTGTTCACTTTGATGTGCACAGTTAAACCCACAGCTCAGTGTTTGTTGGAATAGCCCGGAGGACATTTGGTGCATGGAATGACTGCTTGAAACAGGACCTGAGCTGAAAGAAGGGGGGTGGGTGGGGGGTCAGGAGAAGTGGGGGAGGGATCAGGTCTTTTGATTCCCCCCCCCTTTGGTTAAAGAAGAAGGGGGTAGTGAAGGAAGGAGAGAATCACCCTGAACTCTTTCTTCACTGATATATTTCGTGCAATGTCTTAATCTCCCCCTCCCCCCCTTTTAACTATCGCATGCTATGGCGAAGCAAGAGAGGAGTTGGAAGATGAAAATATAACTGGGGAAATCGGTGCAGCGTTGCGGATTACTTTTGTCCCTTCGGTAGGAAAGGTCTAAGGGAGGTGGATTGGAATTGGGGGCTTTTTAAAGAAGTACCGTGCGCCCGGTTTGTGGAGGGGGGCCGGAAAAAACCCACCCAAGCTGCTGGATCGATGGTAAGTTGCAAAAAAAAAAATGACTGTGATCCCAGCGCAACCTCTCCTCTCTCTCTCTCTCTCCCCCCCCCCCCCCCCCCTTTGGGGCCCGCTTTCGGGTTTCTTTGATGTGCCCTCGGCTGAGGCTTTGAAGTTGTTGAGGAAAGCTATTTATGTGTTAGTTATGAGCGAGCAGAGGCTGGGAAGATAGAGCCGCGGTTTGTATTATTATTAATAATAGTTACAGCCACAACAACAACGCCGAGGTCTTGAGAGGGGGCGATCTGGCGGAAGGGTAGGTTCCTTTTCAGACCCTTTCCCCCCCCCCAACCGCTTGCCCCGGGAAAGTGAGGAGGGTTTGTTTTTTTTTGGAAGACGTTTTGTATTTGTGAGGCCGGTGTGGCGGTGGCGGGGAGTTAGAGACGGAGGGTGTATTTTTATTTGTAGGTAAGATGTCGTGAGGATGCGATGTGTCTCTCCCCATGCACCCCTCCCACTTCGATCAGCACCCGCTTATGAACTCTAAAGAGGCATTACATGCTTCCTTAAGGGTCAGTTGCTACACAGGAGCCGCAGAAATCAACCGGTTTAGGACTTCTTCTCGGCACCCTCCCCCCAATACCCCTCTTCACACACGCCCGCCTGTCCCTTAATACTTTCTCCCCCCCCCCCAAGGATTACACTTTGACAACGTGGAGCTTTCATGGACTGTAGTTGCTTTTCTTTTTTATTAATCTGATTTCTTTTTTAACACCTTCTGGCCTGGCTTCTGTTTCTGTTGGGGTTTTGCTTGGTCTAAGGTTGGGGGTAGAGACTGATGATATAAACCCGGTTTGGAATGTCTGCTCCAATCTCAGGTACTCTGCAAGACAGGAAGAGCACTTTCTTCCTATTCCCCCACTTCCCATCACCTTTGAAATCTCAACTTTTGGCAGATTTGGGGTGGGTGGGTAGGGGAGATTATAGTGATTTTCTTTTATGTGGTGTGAATGTTTATTGGGGATGGTATGTGAGGTGTTAGGATGGGTGAAGGAAGCTGAGAATTGGCTTCCTCTTCTGATTTAATTTTGAACTCTTCACATGTGTATAGTAACCTACCTTTTTATTGGTTGGATGCTGTTTTTTATTTAAAGGCCAAGGTGTAGAAAGCTAGTATTCTACTGTGCAGTTTTGAGATGGGTATTGGAAAGAACCACAAAACTTCCTCTCAAGATCTTGCTTGATTCACCTTAATGAGAGGACCTAACAGGGTAAAAATAGCATGAAGAGATCCAACGGTGGAAGGGGAGAAATGCCAGTCACTTGCTTCCAATATTTTTACTATGTGGATGTCTTTTAACATAAATTGTGTCCCTTAACCAAGTCTATGACATCTGTTTGAAGGCTGAAAGTTCAGTTAAAGAGGCAGACCAACCCTGTGGTCAAGATTTCTCTTAAACACTTTCTCAATGCACAGTTTCAAAGGAGGATCCAGCCTTGTACATAGAAGGGTTTCTGGTGATCATAATCTAAATGTTTAAGGAGTTGAAGGGTTGGGGGGGAATGAAAACCAGATGCTGAGGAAAGCACATTTTGTTCTTTGCCTTGAGTTATCTACAAAAGGGAGGGAGGAAGGCAAAAAAATTGGAAGGAATTTTCAGTGCAGAATGGGTTTAGCAACATAAGGGATTCAACATTGTTCCTGGGACTTTTCAGATGTTATCATTAGTAGGAGGGAAAGTTTGAAGAGCGATTTTTCCCTCTGCATGTTTTGATTTTATAGGCAGTGCCATAATTAAGAGTTCACTTTTTTTTTGTTTCCAACTCCCCCCTCCCCTTTGCTGCCTCCACACCGATGTTAAAAGTGTGCCTAGAGTTCACTCTTTCTCTTTGAAATGCCTATCTGATACTTTCAATTAGCGCTTCAGATGGCTTGGGGTTGCCTCTTTATTTCAATGCGAAGAGTTGAAAAGCCTGTTTATTTTTGGTCTTTGAAGTTGGGTGGATCTGGTTTTGATTAGATCAATACTCTCTTCCCTCCCTTTTTTTTCCAAGAGAGAAGAGTCAGAGGATCCCCTGCTGACTTGAGAAAGAAAAGCGAGAGGCAGGCAGATTACTGAGGGACTTGAAAAGAAAAGGCCTAAGCAGAAGGAACTCCAGGAACCATGAGCAGTGCAGCATTGCTGACTCACCTTCCAGACCCCAGCAGCAGCTTCAGAGAGGATGCCCCTCGCCCCCCTGTACCGGGGGAAGAAGGAGAGACACCATGCCACCTGCCTGCCAACTTGTTTGTCATGAAAAATCAAACTTTCAAGGCCATGTCCGTTTCTTCCACGCCAAGGAGGAATCAGGATGGTCTTGGGGAGCCGGAAGGCAGCGCATCTCCAGACTCCCCTCTTGCACGATGGACCAAATCCTTACATTCTTTACTGGGAGATCAAGATGGTGCCTATCTCTTTCGGACCTTCCTGGAAAGGGAGAAATGTGTGGATACCTTAGACTTCTGGTTTGCCTGCAATGGCTTCAGGCAGATGGACCTTAATGATACCAAAACTTCAAGAGTAGCCAAAGCTATATACAAAAGGTACATTGAGAACAACAGCATTGTCTCCAAACAACTCAAGCCTGCCACAAAGACCTACATAAGGGATACTATCAAGAAGCAGCAGATAGATTCTATAATGTTTGATCAGGCGCAGACTGAGATTCAGACTGTGATGGAGGAAAATGCTTACCAGATGTTCTTAACTTCTGATGTATACCTCGAATATGTAAGGAGCGGGGGAGAAAATCCTGCTTATGTTAACAGTAATGGACTGGGGAGCTTACAAGTGGACTGTGGCTATCTCCCTACGTTGAATGAAGAAGAGGAGTGGAGCTGTGCAGATTTTAAAGACAAACTTTTGCCATCCGTAATTGGGCTGTCCAGCAAGATGCTGAGGGCTACAGCAAGCATCCGAGCTACGGAAACTGTGGAGAATGGGTTCAGGTAAGATACCTAGTTTTGGAATGGCTTTAGGTTTGGTCACTCCTGAGGCTTACAGAGTAGATATCTGTGCACGTTGTGAGTAGATCTGGCAAAAAAACTTCTTATGAACCTTTTTTTAAAAAAACCCACTGGTGTTTTATCTCTGGTTCGGGGAAAGGCTGTGTTTCCTCCTGTTAAAGAAAAGAGGTACATTGTGGTTTTTAAGACCCACCAGTTCTTAAAGCTCTTTTAGACATCAAAAAAGAACTTCAAAGTGACTCTTGTTCTTTAAGACATGTGTTAATTGTTACCACGTTAAACCACATTAAGAGGGACTGGGAAGAGCACCATCTAGGCATGCAAATGGGTAATGAAATACTAGTTGGCCAACTTCATCCCCAGTCAGTGTTGAAATAATGTGGATTACATGAAGAAAATGGGAAAGAATTATGCAATGAGGGAGCAGGAGAATCCATGCTGTGGAAATCTGTGTGACTTAAGGGAACACTATGAATGGCATGCATGTTTTGTTAGGGGGTGTTCTGTAAGTGCTTGGTACCCCTGCCTTTAAGTTTCAGGCATAGGGTAGTGGCAGAGGTAGTTGTTCTCTATATGTGTGTATGTTCCCAATTCAAACTCTGTGAGAAGGTGGTTCTATGCACAAACATGTTTGGACGCTCCCAAGTCCTTTTCTTGTACAGAGTGACAAAAGTGAGCAAGAAGGGTGCATCACAAAATGCCAACATCATATTCATTCTCCCTCCCTCCCTCCCTCCCTTCCTCCCTCCACCCCATTGCCCCTTAATGAAGAACCTGCTGTCCCTCTCTGTTGTGTGTATTCTGTCTTGCTTTAGGAGTTTCTCAATCTGGTATGTGTTTGACATCTGGTTTACAGGAATTTCTGTGAGTGTTTCTTTGATTAATGGACATCAGAGTGCTTCAGGCATCTCTGTTGTTTTCAGCTTGTTTCAATGATGGCCCGCCTCTAAGAGGAGGGTTCTTGTATTGCATCTGATGTGTTTCTTGTATGCCCTTCAGAGGAGTAGCAGTGCTTTTGGTCTCTTCCAGTGGTAGAGCTGGGAAACAGCTGGTTTTGATTTGGCTCTCACTCACACCAGTGCAGATCTGGAGGGGCTCCGGACATCTTTAAGGAACTTCTTCCAGTTGTTACCTGTGCAAATGATACCATTTGGTTTCATGATACCTATTGGTTTCATTTCTGTATTGGGACATGCTCAGTTATCTTAATAAATTGTCATCTTAATAAATTTTCTTAAGCAAAGACAAGTTTCCGTATTTGTAGCCTTAACAAGTACTTTTTCACAGTAGGCCTCAAGTATTGTGACCTGTGCCAGCTGCCTGCCTGACAGCTGCATTCCACTGTTCTGAAGGATTAAAACAGTGTTTCCTTCCCATTCTATCCCTCCCCCCCCATGATAATGCAGGAGGTAGCAATGGAGCTTTCAGATTTAATACAACTCAGTGCCTGAAAGCATGGGTTTCAGTGTTTTGGCCACTTTGCTATTCCTAAAGTAGAGCTCAAGAAAGTGTACGCTGTCAGTGGTTGAAGAAGCTTCACTTGAATCTGTAGACATCCACCCAGTGCACTCTTTTGATCAGCAATATTAATGGCCCTTTAATGATAATCATGTTCAGAACTTCCATGTGAAGCAAACATGTGGCTTACCTCACAATATTTTCCAAAGACCTGATTTTTGCTTTGATCCTCCCTGTGCATACTGTATTTGTTGGCAAAAAGAGCAGGAGTTAAACATGCAGTGCAGTTCTATTTGTGCCCTGGCCTCATTGGGTCAACTCAGTACATCTCAGTCTCAGTCCCTGAGCTAGAAAATGGGAATAATGTCTCCCAAGGGGGGGGGGGATAGGTATGCACTCAGTAACAACTCTTAAGTCCTTTGCCACTTAGAAGTGCTGTATACATTAGTAGCAGCAACTTGTGGTCCAAGATCTCCCCAAAGGCACTAGCTGAGAAGCCACTGTCAACTTTGCTTTTCCTTCTCCTTCAGTATTTTCAGTGAATTAATATTATATTGTCCAGTCTAGATGAAGACATGCCAAATGCCTTTCTCCTTGGCTAGTGCCCCCCTCCCATTTGAATGTACAAGTAGTAAGATAGGGGTTTGTCTAACGTGTCAACTTCTCAGAGGACATTTTCCGCAGCTGGCTTATGATGACCCATACAATTTTCAAGACAGGAGACATTCTGAGGTGGTTTGCCATTACCTGCCTTTGCATAGTGATCCTGGTATTCCTTTGTGTGTAATATGTTTTAAATGTTTATGTTTTTAGAGCTCCTGAGACAAGACAAAGACTTCACCCTTGGCTTAGATAACTGTCCTCTCTCAGGTTTACTTTATAAAGCCACATAATAATTATTTCTGTGGAGTGAAGCTGTTCATTTGACTTTTGAGGTACCTGAAGTGGAATTGAAAGTCTGTTGACATTGGATTCTGAATTGATCACATACAAGTTTATATGTGCAGGTGCAGCCTTATAATGTAACAGGACCTGTAAATAAGTTCTGTCTAGCAGATGGCCCTCTACTAGCTCAAAGTGTTCCCCCTTGGAGCTCATTTAATGTAGAGTTGTTGAAGTCAAGTTCCCTTTAGTTTTGATGCAGTTGTGGTGGACAGAACTGAAGGAGAATGTTCCTTCCAGCTGCTTTTGAATGAAAGGTGTGTGCTATGTTAGTTGCTTAAAGTTCAGCTGTAGTTTCCTTAACCAATGAATGAATTTCTGGAGTAGGCTGAAATAGAGGGTTTCTGGTAGTTTTTTTAAACGTTTCACTGCCCCCCCTTACCTAGTGGAGCAAGACAATTTCCATGTAGACAATCTCCATGACTCTGATTATGAAGGCCTGCTTGCCAGTACACTTGTGAGAAGGGATGTTGATGGAGAAGTTGAGAAACCGATTCTTCACTTGTGCTCTGTTATAAAAGACGCCCTGAACAGATTATTTCCTCTCCCTCCGTGATACAGAGCTACTACCTAACATAGTACATCAAATTAGATACTGGCCACTTTACCACAGCTTCAGAAGCACAAGACACTTTTTTCTTGAAGCTGGGGAGGGGGGGTAGCTCAGTGGCAAAGCATCTGCTTGGCATGCAGAAGCCTTGATGGGACCAATGGTCTGGTTCAGTGTAATGCAGTTTCATTTTCTGATGTGAGAACAACCATTACCTGACAGCTGAAAACAACTTTATTGTATTGAGACTGAAGACATGTTGTTTTGAGTGTGTGTACATACGAAATGTAAGACATGTTGTTTTGAGTGTGTGTGCATGAGAAATGTACATCAGAGACCACTGCCATTGCACAGGAATTTAAACTCCTTGAAAGCAAACTTGATAGCATATGGCTACAATTAAATTGTAGTGTGGTCAACATTTTTTAAAAAGTAATTTTATGAAAACATCCCTAATTGGTTTACTTAATGTATATGGAGGGTTTCAATACAGATCTCTCTTAACAAGGCAAACTTAGGTTTTTCTCTCCCCCCCCCCCCCCTTTGGTGCCATCATTATAGGCAAATATTTATCTCCACCCACTTGGTCCAAGTTCTGAAAATGTTATTTTTCTCTGTAACACCTTGGGTTTGAGTTTTTATGTGGACTGATTTTGAGGTTTGTTTTAAATGCATTGAACTTGGGTTGAACAAAGTCTTACCCAAAACAAACCTGAGGAAATGAAGGCTCTAAATGGCCTCCCTAACAGCTACCGAAGGACTTCTCCTTCTACTCCCATAGGGATGCAGTGTAAGCACAACAAAACAGTTATTGCTGCCTTGGTATGAGAAAGGCTAGAGCTCTGCATGCATTTTAAAAGGAAGGCTTGTCGGAGCCACTTAATGAGCAGGGCTGGTTCTGTACAGATGGTGAGCATCTTGAAACCAGATACTTTACAACAATAAGCCTAATGGGCCTGGGTTTTGTTAAAGCAGGACATGAAACAGTTTCAAGTAGAGTCATAAAAAGTAAAGACTTCAGTCTTCCCTTCTCCCACACCCCAAACACTAACAGTGGCCTAAAGAATGTCATTGGGACTCTACATGCCTCATCAAGAGGGTCAGAATCTGTAGCTTAGGTACAAAATTTAGATCCACCCCCCCTCTTTCCTGGTAGTGTAACTATGCTTTCAATTGGAAACATGTGGGGCTGGTCTATCTTTTAGATCTGAGTTCTTTCTTCCCTTACTCTTTGCTATCTCCAGCCCTCCCCCTTCAGATGTCTTGATCTTCCTACTGAAATATCTTTGTGTGCTTTGGAAAAGAATGTGATCCCAGCTGTGCTTAAATACCTGATTCTTTTGCAGCATGGCCTCCTGCAAAGGTCAGTTTGAGACGGAGGCCTAGAACTTCAGTCATGCTGTTTGCAGTCATAACTTGAAGAGCGGGGCTGTCTGTGTGTCTCTCCTTCCATCTCTCACTCCCTGCTCAACCCCTTTCTTTGCTTAAGCCTTTGCAAGGACTCATGTTTTCTCCCTTACCCATGAAACGGAGGAATGCAACACAGCAGGGGAGTAAGGGGAGGGTGGGAGAACTTGTTTGAGAGAAAGCCGAGTAAAGACTACTGAAGAGGTCGAAAGTGGGTAACCAGGGCAAACAGAGACAAAGAGACTAGAAAACTGGTGGAAGGGGAAGGGCTGCTTTTCATAAAGACAGCCAAACTGCTCACTTAAATCAAGCTTTACCTCCTCCATCTGGCTTGTTTTTTTAAGCCTCTCTTTAATGGTCTGTCCTTAAACAAAAGAACTTTGGAAAAGATGATGCCACCCCACCCCTCCCCTCCTCATGCCTCCCAAGTTGCTTGCAAGTGACTCTTTAATTTTACCTCAGTGTCTCCATTAAAATTGAACTTCACAGTCTTGGTTGGTCAGGGCTGCCAGTTCCACATTTGTTTAAAATTAGGGATGTGGCCTGGCTCTGGGGTGTCTGTCCTGTGAAATGTTGTGGAAGTGAGGTGTATATGTGTTGGAAAAGAAGTCGTATCCTCTTGATGAGGAGCATCTAGTTTGTGTTCTGTGCATGTTGTGTTTGCACATTGAAAGATGATGCTGTGTGAAAATGAGATCTTTTAGTATTTTCAGCAGCAAGCAGGTATCACAGTCCTGCAGACATTCGTGCATTGAGTCCTGAACCCTGTCTTGGCTTGGAGTGTAGTTACAGAATAGAGACTACAGAGTTCCTGCCTTGTCTCTTCCCCTGCTTTGTGCTGCCATATTGGAGTCACATCACCAAAGGCGGAGTAGGTGATAAGGGCCGCTCTCTGCTTGCCCGACTTAATGGAAACGCAAATCTGAAAGTTTATTTTGTAGTGTACTTGAAAGCATGCTTTGGGGGGGCATTACGTCTGCATTGGTGCAGAGAAGTGTTTTTTTTTCTGTTGGCACCAGTTGACATATTGGGTTACACTTCTATTTGTTTTGCAACATACTTCAACATAATGTCTTGTCAATCAGCTTTGAGATGTGGTAGACTCTGCAAGAGAGTCAAATTCTTCTGTCACTTTGATGTGCTTGGTGGTAGAAAGTGCCATCGAGTTGCAGCCAATTTATGGTCAACCCCATAAGGTTTTCAAGGCAAGAAATGGATAGAGGTGGTTTGCCATTGCCCTCCTCTGCATAGAAACCCTGGACTTCCTTGGTGGTCTCCCATCTAAATACTAGCCAGAGCTGACCCTGTTTGGCTCCAGAGAGCTGACAAGATTGGGCTAGCCTGCCTGGGCCATCCAGGTCAAGGAATGCTTAGAACCTCTTAAATCCAGACCTGAACGTAATGCTAAAATATGATGCGCTCTTAATCTTTAGCATTTCTCACAATCACTGGTGTGTGTGTGTGTGTGTGTGTGTGTAACCCTAGTCCTTGCAAGAGACCTGTAAGGCCTAAGGCCACTGGTTGCATTCATGGCTGATGTTTGAATCTGGGGCATTCACAGCTCATTTGTCAGCTGGCTGGGCTTTTTCATTTCCCTGTAGAAGAACAGAAGCACATGCACATAGGAAGCTTAAAGGGGAAGCAGAACTTTGGGTTGAAAGGGGAAGACACTGATTTAATTGGAAAATTAAGTAATGGAGCAAGTTGGTAAGGAGATCTAGGGAGTTTCTTTGAGATCTGAACATGTAAACGAGTCATGGTGTGTTTCTTCAGGCATATACAGTTCTACCACACAGAAACTGTTTGTATGTGACCTGTGATGTGGAGCAATAGTGACATTTATATCCTAAGTGAAGTTCTTCTAAAAATGTGCCAGTCTTTCAAAGCAGTTGACTTGTTTTGGTTAAAATGGCAAATGTTCTCAGTAAGTCCCCGTGCGAACACCAAAAACTTTAAAGGTGTTGATGTTGGAGTTACATTGCATGACAGCTTTCGCTCTGCCACACTGAGACCTGTGTAATCTCAGGTACCTATGAGGAGGGTAAGCTTTTGAATGAATACAACATGCATCGGCTTCTCCCCATGTGCCAAAACCGTAACCTTTTAAAAGCTTATTTTGATCCCTGGTGGTGAGTGTGCATGCAGGATCTGTGGTGCCTCTGCAGGCTGGATCTGCTCTCAAGCTTGCTTTCCATGTGGGCCTTACCGTGAGGCAATCGCAAAGAACTCAGTACCATGGGAAGAAAGGAATGTTCTGAATCAGTCCTCCTAAACTGTGCAGTGGTTGCTTACTTTAAAATAATAACATGGAATTGTCGAGGTAGAACTGCTCATGAAATTATTATTTGGAACGAGCAGTGCTCAGCAGACTTGATCCTAGACATTTCTGCCTCCAAGATAGTTCCATAGTAATTGATAGGGCAAACGTCTAAGAATTGGGAATGTTGCTCATCTGTTTGGTTTTGTGTGTACTTGTCATTATCTCATTTCTTTTTGGTCTTTCAACTGTGTCTGTTTCCTGAGTTCAGAGAGTAACCGGGTTCCCAATTTTTCTGTGTCCATAGGTCTTTCAAGAGGAATGATCCTGTTAACCCTTACCATGTCAACTCTGGCTATGTCTTTGCTCCAACCACTAGTGCAAACGATAGTGAAATATCTAGTGATGCTTTGACTGATGATTCCATGTCAATGACAGACAGCAGTGTGTAAGTATCCCATTAAATGAATTTGAGGAAAATATGTTGGTATACACACATATATATTTTAAAATAACACTTGGCTACTTCTGGCTTAATTAGAGGCTGATTAAAACGTTGGAAGCTGGTCACACTCCTGATAGACTCTTAACAACCATGTGAGGTGCCACGGAGAATGGTCAGGATGACAGCAGGGTTTGCTGTTTGTTCAGTGGTAGGTTTGGCTTCCCCCATTTTCATGACTTTTCTTGAGAGTCAAATGGGGGATTTCTGTAAACAATCCTGTTCTCCCAGTAAAGCTAGAAATCTAGCCTGTAACCCATGGAATGTATCCACAATCTCATCCCTGTATCTATAATCTCAATCTTGCCATGGCCTTTGTTTCTGAGACTAGGTGTATTATCTCATTAACAGTCATAAAAAAGAGATTGCTTCCTCTAGGAAGTGTTTTCTAAGGTTACTGGTAAATTTGCCTATTGTTGACTTGAAGAACTAGCCGCCTCTCATGTCAGATTTAGTTGGGTTTCTTCTGCCAGGAGAACTCTGTAGGATAGGATTACAAATATTTTGTGGATCTCGGGAAGAATAGTGGGGCAGAATGATCTTGTCAAACTATCTTTTGAGTATATGGGAATGAAGAATTCTTAAGCAGCCCTGTACAGACATCTTTCTGTGCAACCTCCGGTAAATGGTGCCTGCACCACTTTTCCCTTCTTCACCCCCCTCCCCACTTCCTGTATTTCTGTCCAGTTTGCTTCTATCATCCTTGCTGACAGAAAATTGAGGCTATTTGGGAATGAAGCACTCTGGGAGAGATCCCCCCCCCTTTACAGCAGTTTTTTTGGGGAAAGGTGCTTAGTTCATATAACTTAGGACCTTCTCCACATTTAGTTCTACTTATAGTTCTGTCTTTGTACTAAATTTTACTTTGATTTTTATTTGAATTTTATTGCTACACTATTTTTGAGGGTGAGGGTCCAGCAGTCTGAACAGACATCACTGAATAACACATCCTGAAGTCTCTGGATGCAACCTTTCAACAATCCCTCTTTTTTTGTGGATTTTTTGAGTTGGCATTATGGAAAAGTAAACCCCACCTGCCCCCCTCTCCTTGCCTTCTTATTGAACAATATTGGCCTTTAAATAAAAGAGCTGCATCACCATTTTATTCCTCATTGCTAGCTGTGGTTTGTATGTGATCATGTGTCAACAGAGCATTCATTGGGTTAGTCATTTCTGGACCAATGTTGGGTCACTTGGGACTCGCAGAGCTGGGATTATACCTTCTCTTCACAGCAATGCCAATTGTAGGGCCTTATATAGATGAGAGCACTGAGTGAAAAATAAAGTGCATGGTGGATGAAAGGCTTAACTGAATCGCTTTCAGCCTATTGTTAGTCTAGGGGAGCTTAGAGGGGATAAGAGGGTGGCAGGCTGCTTTGAAATTTACTTGAACAAGTGAATAGGAGCTCCCCATAAAGCCGTGCATGAAAGGAGCCTGGCTGTTTTTTCCTGCCATAACAATAGGTGGTACAGGCTGTGAGAAGCAGGGGGAAACTTGCCTGATTAAACTGCTGGGAGCTTCAAGATATGGGGAGGGGTGGGGGTGGGTGGGAAGGGAGACATGGATTTTAATAGGACCGCAACAGTGTTATGGCTTCAGAGAGCAACCCTAGGAAAACTCAGAAATTTAACCATTTCCTGCTGTAAATGGATCCTGAACTCCCCATCCTCCCTCCTCTGAAATGTTTGCATTTCCCTTCTGTCTAGAAGGAAGCAAACTTAAAAGACTTTTTAGGACCAGAAGTGTGTATCTGTGTTTGTGTGTGTGTGAGAGAGGGGGGGGAGAGACCCTCTCCTCCTTTTGGAGCTATATAGCTAAATACCACACACTCTTAAACCAGTGCATACTAATATACTTGAACAGCTGTTGTCCATTGCAGTGACACCAGCACGTGTGCCAAGGTTGTTTTTGTGTTTTGAATTTCCTTCCCCACTATGGGTGCATAGAAGGGAAACTTTTAAGAAAAAGGCATTGTTTTTGTGCAGGTCCTGTGGGTGGGCAGAAGAGTGGAATCAGCTGGTGTCTACTTTGATGCAGGAGCCATTGGTGTTGTGGTCCTGTTCTGCAATGTGTGAGTGTAAATGGTGCAGCTCTGAAAGTCTAGAATGGCTCTAGTGGTGCAGGACAGAGTCTGTCTCAAATGGACAGCAAAACCAGGCATGTCCTCCTAGCTTGTGTGTTTTCATGTGCCTGGAAAACTACTGCACAGTTCTTTTCTTTATGAATTTATGTTTAACCCCAAGAATTTATTTTTTTAGGTCTAATCTCTCCTTTTTGGTGTTGGCCACAAAAGCACTGGGCAAATTTACATTTCTATTTCTTGATTGATTTTATTATTTGGTAATATCTTATTTATGGATTTACTTTGGACACATGGGAATACTGCTGAGCGAACTTCAAATATTACTTTATCTTACAAACCAGGCTTTTGATGTTGGCAAGATCAGAGGCTCTTTTTCAGAGCCATTGCCAAATGAAGATGGGAGTGAATGCATATGTGCTGGAGTCTGATATTTCAAAAGAAGCACTGAAACTACATTCAGGTTAGGTCAGGCACATCTAAGTCAAAAGGCTAAGATAATTGGCTCAGTTTAAATGGCAGCTGACTGGAAGGAAGACTTCAAAACTAGTGTTTCCCCAGAAACAGATTGGCTAGGTACCAGACTTGTTAGCAAAAAAATGTTTATAATTAAACCATGCTATTCAGTGCTTAAAACTTTGCAGTCCTCCTTCAGCCTAGAGTTGGAATTAAATCCTCTTTCTCTCATACACACGCACCACACCACATCACACTGCACCAGAGAATTTAGCACAAGGGCGATTGTGCTGGAGAAAAGAAGGGAATACTACATGGTCCAAAACTGCAATAGATATTGAGACTATCCCTATGTCATAAATTGTGCATCAGCTGTGGATAATTGGCTTTTAATATTTTCAGTGTTTCTCTGGGTGCGTTTGGTGGCATCCTGCCACTGTTTGTTTTATGATATTCTTTGATATTGTGTCAGATCTGTGTCCCACCTGTTTTCCAAAGGGAATAATAGATGGGGCAATAGTAGCTCAACCTCACTGCAAACCAGTGAGGTAGATCAGATTGGCTTTTAATATTTTCAGTGTTTCTCTGGGTGCGTTTGGTGGCATCCTGCCACTGTTTGTTTTATGATATTCTTTGATATTGTGTCAGATCTGTGTCCCACCTGTTTTCCAAAGGGAATAATAGATGGGGCAATAGTAGCTCAACCTCACTGCAAACCAGTGAGGTAGATCAGTCAAGGGAGAGTGAGAATTAACCCAGGGCCACAGACTTTGTTGTTGAATGGGAACCTGAACACAGAACTTCTTCAGCGCTTCATCCACTTTCCTTTGCAATTTCTTCCTCCCTCTGTTTCTCTTAATGTTTTTTATGAGGCAAGCTCACAATTGTTTCTGTTTTGCAGATGGGAAACTGAAGGTGACATAAATTTAGCTAAGGCCCCCTGTTAATCTAGTGTTCCAACCAGAAATAAAAATCCAATATTCTCTCTCCTGTGCCTTATTTAGGCTGCAGTCCACTTTTCCTGGATGTAAGGCCCCTGAGTTCACATGCTTAGGATTGCTCTGTTCTCTCCTGATTTCCTTGTTGTTTTTAAAATTCCTAACCCCAGCATCTTGTCTTGCCTTCATTAGTGTGCTGTGAGTTATTATTTTCTACCCGAAGCTCCCTTATTTTTAAATATTCTGTGTTCAGAATTTGGAAAGCACTCTCAGATCCCTCATTAGGAGGCTTCGTTTGGTTTCTCAGGGTTGTTAAGTAATGCCACCCTCCTGTTGAAATGAGGTTCACCAGTCTTTTTGTTTAATTTTAATTAACATCTTCTTCCAAGATAGCTGCTGTTTAAGTGATCCAATTAAAAGGACACCCTCATTTATTCAAATTACCAGGGTAGGGAGTATTCAAAACATTTGGATGATCGGGAAGGGGGGGGGGCTCGATAAATGGGAGAGCGACGGTGGCGTGGATCCGCAGGGGCTGAGGTGCCATGTGGAGTGGACTTTCTCTGAATTCACATTACCAAGGTTCCATTTGAGGGTTTTCTTGTGCTCCTCCTTCATAAGCAAAACACTTGCCAAATGAGACAAAATAAAGCAAAGTAAGCAAATAGACAATTATTCTGGACCAGGAGGACCTAGTTTTCCCCCTTCCTGCTCTTGACAGCTCTCACGTATATCTGGAAAATGATTTGAAAACCTCCAGTAGAAGGAAGAGCAATAAACTTCCTTGCCCTTCATGGCTAATTGGCCTCCTGCCAGGTCTGCACTCCCATTGAAGATTCCTAATATAGAGTCAGTGGCTTGTCTCCTTGCACTGTCCACCCAGGGCCGGCCCAAAATTTTTTAGTGCCCTAGGCGGGGCTACCCCTCCCGCACACCTAATAATGGGGTTGCCAACCTCCAGGCAGGGCCTGGAGAGAAGCCTTCTTTTGTCCAGATCTTCAGGCAAATATCATTTTTACAACCATTCAATTAGCCCTCCTTTGGATTAGCACCTTCTTATGCTTCACCTCCAGAATAAAGAAGCCCTAATCTTGTTGCTATTTCCCCCGAGGGCAGAGTGGGTTTTGTGCCCTCCCCCCCGGGATTTTTTTAACTAGAAGAAAAATAATAAGGGGAGGGAAACGGTGAATAATCTGATGACATGCCGGAGAGATGGGGACAGAAGGGGCGAGGAAGCTGGTCTGGCAAGGGGGGATTTGGGGGCTCAGGTTTTCTGCGGATTTACCCGGCTGGGAGGGCCAGGGAAGGCGAAGGAGCCGCAGAAGAGAAGAAAGCAGAAGTTGGAAGGCGGGTGGGCTGGGGTGGTGGTGAAGGGGAAGTGGGCCTCGTATTAAAAATGTATGTGTGTGAAAGATTGGGAAAGGCATGTAAAAGATGGAGGGGGTAAAAAAGGAATGTGGAGCACGTGTGA